TCTCTTCTTGTTTATTTTCTTTCTCCTCCAACCACTGCTGTAGTCTCTCTTCTTGTTTCTTTTCTTTTTCCTCCAACAACTGCTGTAATCTCTGTTGTTTATTTTGCTGTTCGAGCTGCCATTGTTGCAGGTTTTCTTGCCACTGCTGTAATCTCTCTTCTTGTTTCTTTTCTCGTTCTTCTTGTTTATTTTGTTGTTCTTGTATTGCTGCCATCAAATCTGCTAAGCTGTAGTTTGATTTGCCACTGCTCGTTTCCATCTTCTTTTTGTTTTCAGTCTCACTCTCTGACACCAATTTGTTACGTCTCAGGTCGTTTGTTAATTTCCCGTATAATTTCCTTCCGGGGAACTTCAGCGATACAAGCCTTTTCTTAAATAAAACTAGTTTATTCTTTCTCAATTCAACTTTGCAATACACTTAATTTCCACAGTCATTTTACGTAAACACACGCTATAATTCACAACGAACGATTCACGCACTTTACTTACTACTGCGCTTGACTCAGTTGTCGTTTCTATCTCTGCCTGTCTGCAATTATCTATATCTGTGCCTGCAAAAGTCCCCTGGTGGGACAGCGCTACGTCTACTGAATTACAACGCTAAAATCAGAGGTTCTATTCCCCACGTTGGACACAGCAGATAGCTCAATGTAGCTCTGCTCTAAAACAAACAAGCAAGCAAAAAACTGCTTTCAAACAACAACTCTGTCTATTTATAAAACATGTAAATCTCAACTACAATAAACGTTTTCGGTCGTTATTAATGTTGTTTCAAAGTGGATTTTGTTCCTCATATTTTTGGTGATTATGTTCCTTCGCGCTTTGATTGCGTCGTTAATTCTTGAATGTATTGTATTAAAATTCATCAAACCGGAAACGTTATGTGTTTTGCAGATAACCTTCGAGTAGTCTTGCGCGAAATTCAGAAAATTTAAACAAACAAACGCCATTTTGTAAATAAACAAGTATTTTGTACGCAAACTCAACTATGCCTACAGATATGATTGGACGGTATAAAATCAGACCGCAAAACGAGAAATCTCATATCGGCCAGTTAAGGTGTTGCTGTTACGAATATATTAACCATATTAATTATTATTAAGGTTAATCTTCGTGTTACCTATACATTAATAGTGTTAGTATGGACTGCATAGTATATGACTCCTAATATTATTACATTTAATACTGCATTTATGTTAACAGTACCCGATTTTATGTTACACATGTAAATAACTTACACTTACAACATAGAAGATTAAAAATATGGAATTAGTATTGTTACGTCTCCGCTTGTTAATTAACTTTCCGTAACTTCGTTCGGACGAAACTTAAGCGACACAAGTCCTTTCTTAATAAAACTGGTTTATTATTTCCGAATATAACTTTACCAATACACTCAACTTTAACAATCGCGCTAAACAAACGCTGTAACGTCTCTCGC